GCCAATGCCCTGAAGCCACTAGATGGTGTTTACCAGAGCCCTTTTTGATTCATTACTGGGGGCTGTTATTGAACACACTGCTGTGAGTATACAGTTCACTGCACATACTGTACTGAAGCACAACCAAATATCAGCAAGACCTCTCCCAATTCAGCTGCAAGAATCTGTCAGAAGTTGAGTTGCTGGTGTTGTGCATCCTTTAATCACACGCACATCATGGTGACAGAGTCTTGTGGATTTTAATAAAGTCCCAGGAACAAAGGCATTCTCCTCTAAACTATCTTTCTCACGCAGCGTCAGCGAGCAGAGCTTAGGAGAACTGGTTATTACCATCTCATTGAAGAGGAGCCCCTCAACAGCTTGTAAAGTTGTTTGGCATCATGTCCCCACTTCACTGTATGCTGACAGCCCAACCATCAACTGTAGACACTTTTCTTTGGAGGCTATTTCAATCTTTCCTTAGAGTGTCAGTGCTGTCTCTCTGCTGACACCACTGCTGCCCATCTTTTTTTTTTGGAACTTTCTTCCAGTCTTGCCTGTCTCTTTGCCTGAGAAGGGCAGGTACCACACTCCATGGAGAGAAGAAAATGGAGAATGAAAGTGCAGTACATCAGGGTCACAGAAAAAAAGGCCCTTAAACAAATCTTATCACAGCAGAGAGCCCAATTGAGATACCAAACCAAAGGGAATAATTATCTTTTGAACAAAGCTAATCTAAACCTATCAAATAAAAACAAACTTAACAGTGAGCATAAGGAAATGCCATTATTCAAATGGAATGAAAATGCAAATGTGTGGTCTTATGTAGAGGAAACAAGGGGCCGGGTGCTACTGGACTCTGTGAACCACACTCCCTACTGGTTCATAATTTTCTGTAATGGATGCCAATGTCCTTGTGGACACATATGCCATTTTTTAAGGCCAGTAGAAATGTGGAGAGTCAGCTGGCCCCTAATCAAGAATAAATATGTCTAATCATGTTTATGAATGCCCTCATGCAGCACAAATATATTTTCATTAAATGTAGGTCCCACATCTAATAATGTATGCCAGCATACTACATATTGGTGGGTTTTACAAAATAAAGGTCAAGTTAATCATTATTCAAATGAATTTCGGTAATACTTTGTTTTGCATGTCTGTTATTTCCTAATAATTTCTTTAAAAAGTTTGCTGAAATAAAGTTCTGAGACAGCCTTCTTAAGTAGTTCACCGAGTTGTGTTAATTATTGCCTTCCAGATGAATTTCCATGACTTTACTCAATTAAAAAACCCATTTATTCATTATTTATTAAGTGTTATTCTGCATTTATGCTGAAGTGCATTGTTATTTGTAGACAACTTTCACACTTTGTGTGTAGTTCACCCTCCGTCCAATGAATAACAGCTTGTGGTAGCTTAGCACTTAAAAGTGTACCAACTAATCATTCACTAATTTTACCTCTAATTAGCACCTGATTGAATGGTTCTTTCTTGAACACGTCTTGGGAAATTATTGGAAATAAACTGGAGTCCGACTGATACTGGATTTTTGAGGCCAATACCAAGAGTTTAAAAATGTAAACACTGTAAATGGGTTAAATTAAATGTGCAAAAATGTTTCTAATATGGATGCATAATAAAATGAAGATCCTTATAACTCTGGTTACTAAAGAATAGTAAGCAACACATGTAACGAGTGGAAAATATCAGTGAGATAGGTGAAGAGGACTAAATTAAACTTGGACACAGCTGCGCTTGGAGCTAAATTCTTCCAACGTCAAAAGGATAATGAGACCATCACTGGTTTTTAGGCTACAACTTAAAACTGTCAGTGCTCTAACAGTATTCTAGCCAATACCAATTTGTAATAAGCCAACACTGTCAGGCAGTATCATCATGCAAATGTGTCTATTTTTAATGTTTTTATTATTCTATTAATTTACAGTATGCCTTTAAGGAGTGCAGATCATTTCTTCAAAGAGAAGTCCTAACCTTGAGGCATTTCTCTTGTGGAATTTTTATTTTAATATTTATATTAGAATATTTTTATCTTCCGTAGTGGACTCATACTGTACCATAAACACATACACATACCCCGACAGGCATCACCATCACCACTCTCACCCTCCCCCAAACACACAGACACACACACCCCCTTACATTGTTCCTGTCCCACTCTGTCTTTTCAATTTGCCTGCATTGTTCCTCATGCTGTCATATTAAAAACAAAATGTTCACGGTTGTGTAAGAGCAAAGGGAGATGTTTCAGAACACTGTGGAACATACTGTATGCCAGTGCTTATTCTGCCAACAACCACAAGCAAAAAAAAAAAAAAAAAAAATTTGAATTTAAAAACATGTTGACCATGATATTAAATTTTAAAATATTAAAAATGAGATCAAGGACTAAGCTAACAAAGAGCAGGTGGTTCAGTGGATACAAGGTTTTGTGCATTAGTAAAATATTGCGTATTCTGACGAGAAAACAATGAACACTTTTATGCCATGAAAGCCATTTACCTTCAACCTAAAGAAGACCTCAACTAAAGGCTTCCATAGCTGTTGCAGAGTGTTTCACATAGCAAGCCTATTAATATGTATTAGGATTATTGTGCCGTGTGCATGTACGTATGTGTCTGCATTGTTATTGCCTTTTTTCCTGGCGTGGCACAGCTAATTTCATTGCTTTTTGTTAAATGACATTAAAGGCTATTCTATGTGCTGTATAGGCGCTTTCTTTAATTTACTTCTACTGGTAGTAAGGTTACTCTACTCAGGTTATCAAGGATCTCAGATTGGCTTCCAGCACCATGGCATGAGGGTAGAACGACTGGAGGCAGAAGATGAGTTTGGGACCAGGAGCCATGCCCCGTCAGCACGGTAACCTCACATCCCCACAGTTCTCAAAGGTTTTTCTCTTTTTACTTTTGATCTCTACACTACACCGCTTCTCTCATTTGACATTCAACACAAGCATCAACATAAAACACTCAATACACATATTTCCTTTAAAGATTAAAAAAATAGGGGAAAAAAAGAGCTGAGCTTTAGTTTCTTCAGAACATAAATAATTGATCACAGAAAAGCTGCGGGGGAGTTGTGTTTGTGGATATGTTGCTTTCACCCCAGTCTCCTCACAGTATAGCCCAATTTCTGCATTTACATTGCAAAAATATTAACACATGCTGGACAGTAGTTCCAGAGCTTAGTTGAAGATGGAAGCTGAAATACAGCAATTACAAAAAGGCCTTCAATAAGCGACATTTACAAAACCAGAGAAGTAAAATGACTGGAGGGCTGTGGCAGAGACATATGGAGACAAGACAGCGTTCATGATCCATACGGTCTTATACTTGTATAGTGCTTTTCTATGCATTGCAGCATGCTCCAAGTGCTTTCACACTGTTTGGCCATTCACCCATTCACACTCCCAAGCACTCACACATTCACAAATCAGTGTGTCCTCTACACAAGACCACACATTCCTCATAGAAATCAACACGTCACAGTACAAACAAGAGCGTGGCTCTGCCATGAGATCAAAACAAATGCTGAATGTCAAGACTTAAATGAGCAAGTGAAGCAATTCAATATAACGTACAACATAACAGGCAGTATAATGTGCTGTAGTTTCTATGACTGTGCAATCTAGAGCAGTCGTGTGCTGCTGGCAAAACAACACATATCAGCAGTTATGTGTTCCACAGCCAGGGAGAAAAGTTTCCAGCTTCTCAGCTTAGCAATGCTGACACCACCTCACAGATTTTACCACACGATCCCATGAATAAACATGCCTGAAAGTTGTTTCTAAATATATAATGTTTTGGGGATGTTTTCCCCAAATTAAATTAATCCTGGTAAATAAATGATGCTGAAAATATAATGATTACAAATTTGTTTGATCTCATCAACACAACAGGGGGGCAGACAGATTACATTAGGTTGAAAAGATCCTAATATAAAAGAGTTAGGGAGAAAAAACATATCACTTCAGATTCAGGAAAGTGAAGCCAAGTTGTGTTGCGTTTCCCTTACAGCCCATTACTTTTTGAATGTTAGTGTATGAAACGGTCTCCTGTTCTTTTTTTCCCAGCTGTAAGTAAAGGATGCCTGGCTGCAATTTGTTTCTGTCAGGATTATTAATGGCGCTCAATAATATTACAGCTTATATGGATATGGGAAGGTGCATCTCTGCAGCAGCCAATTGATAAATCTGTGATCCTCCAACCACCCAACCTCATCGTGCCAAGAGCTTTAGAAGCCATACGAGCAGCTCTGAATACAATAAGTCTCATGCAGATTAAAAAAAACTGTCCCTTAAATGTGCACTAATACCTGAGGTATCAATTCTCCAGGCTGCCTGCCTGTTAGCATTTACCTATGCAGAACCAGCACATACAGTACATCTTGAATTTAATGTACTACAATTAGAACAAACAATGAGTAAAATGTTATTTTTGTTTAAAATCTAAAAGGCTAACTTCACAAGGCAATTACAGTGCTGTAGTGTATACTGTGTGTGTCTGACATGGTGATTTCATGGATGCTACAGTGGCCCATACAAGCTCAAATATCTGAGACATCTGTCAGAAATCCTGATGACAAGTTGCTAAACATGGTCAATGAGAAAAGGAAACTGAGTGGGAGATAATGGTATTAAGACTCAGCCCTTTAACACATTATTAGGTAAACACCATAGTGGTCTCTGCTCATTCATGAAAACAGCTGTATGGTATTTTTGGATACTCATTTATAATGTTTGGCTCTTTAGTACATTAGCCACAAGCAAATAGATAGCAATAAAATAAAATAAAATAAGCTCCGCCACTACAGGAAATACATTTGATAGTCTACTTCAAGCAATGCAAATATTGCACACACCTGTAGCCTATTAGCAGAGAAAATGCAACGACATAAGCTCAAACTCCAGCAGTGTTCAGTCATAATATTCTCTTACATTGCCAAGCACAGGACATTCATTTCCCAGCAAGCCAACACAAGCAAAATACTTCACTTACCTTGTTGAAACGAAGCGGTGCCAGCAATGAAGAGAAAATGAACCCTTTTACTGAAGTCGCCATTGACAGGACTTTATTCCGGATTGAAGCACAACCTTTCTCCGACAGGTGTCAAACGGGAACTAACAAATAACACCTCAGTAAATCCAACGGTATTTTCCAGCAGCGAATGTACAACAAAGTTTGCGCAGCAACAGAAAACAGAGGCCTTCCGTTGACGGCTTCAATAACCCGCCAGGTGGCAAAAGGTGTGTTGGATAAATTCTGCAGCACGTCAGAGTGTGTCACGTGTGCAGGTATGAGCGTGGCAGTGCAGGTGGAGTTGATTGCATGAAAATATTATTGAGTTAAAGTACTGTGTTTTGTTTTATTATTCAGATTCTGAAAAATAACTAAAGTGACTGTATCATCTTCATGTAATGCAGTAAAAAAAAAAGTATGATATTTGCCTGAAAAGTGAAGTCAAAGTATGAAGTAGCCGAAAATAGAAATGCTCAAGCGAAGTACAATTACCTCAAAATTGTACTTAAGTACAGTACTTGAGTAAATGCATGCTCCCACTTTCCACCACTGATCATTTTAATGTCCTAAGCTATAATAATGATGTGCTAAGACTAAGTTTATCAACTTTCCGCATGCAGCTAACCCTACATGTTGACTGACATGTTATTGTTTCCTATTTACATACATATATATATATATACACAGGAGTTTTACATATCATTAGTATTATTATTCCTTAAATCATTCATAATGCTGTTTTTAATAAATGTTTTTAATTATATACATTTTTTAATTATATTATTGCTTTTTTCAAAATATTATTAAATGTTATTCTTGAACTCAGATGTTTTGACCCTAGCAGCCTGAACACAAGCATTAAACTGTGCATTCTGTTTTATATATAGCAGCCCCAAGAGGGTTAAATGAGTCAGTGAGAAGAATTTAGTGTGAAATGGGATGTGATGCTGCACAGAGGTGTTCCAGTCCCACAGGCTGTGTTGTAAAGCACAAGTGGACTTCACTGACTCCTGCCCACCTCCCATCTCCCTCCTGGAGACAACCTCTATTTTATCTTTATAACCTTTTTTTTTCTTCAGCTATCCTCCCTGTGAATAAAACTTAATTATTGCATAGTAACAAATGAAGTCTGAGCTCTAGCTCTCCAGAGTAGCTCATGCTGGTCTCCAGCAGAGAGTCTAGTGCCTTACCAGAGGCACTGCTGCTCACTCACATCAGTTTCATCAGGCACTGTGGTTTTGCTTCACTTGCAGCTTCATATATACAAGAGCTTAATAGAGACTGATTCATTGATATTCCAGCCAAACTGCCCAGGGATTTGGCAGGACAGGCAGCAGCAGGGGAACGATGCAGACAAAACAAAGTGGTAGAGAATGAGTGGGAGGGGAAGGGAGAGACTGGGAAAGTTACACGAGATTTGTAGTCACACACAGAGATGCCAGCGATGATAAAACCATCTCTCTCTCTTGCAGGCTACTGTGATAGACTTGATTCAGTCCACTCACACCCACCCTCCCCATCTCCCATTATTCTCATGCAGGTCTCCTGCATTCTTCTTCTTTTATTCACTGACTCCAACATGATGAACAGGAGCAGAAGAGAGAGGAGCAGCTGGCCTGGTCTCGGCGGGGTGAGGTAACACATCTGACAAACTCAAATCAGGTTGGTCGAAGGTGAAGCCTGCGCATCTCACTGTGGAGCAGTGAATAGTATCAACATTACACAGATGACAAGAATACAGTGTAGTCTCTTCACCCTCATCCTAACTGAAAAACAAACGTTTTTTTATGCCCCATTAATTAATTGATGCATTCCAAAAGGCCACTCTAATAAATCAGTTTAGACCCGATTAGATCCACTAACTGCCTTTTTTATTTAAAGTCTCTTAGGGATGTAATTGTAATGTTCATTGTTTATTAACACAGCTGCCCAATAAAGTTTACTATTTTTATCAGACAGATAAAAGACATGATTATATGGCTTCTCATCTTCATTGTCTGAGAGAAGGTGACATTGTACGGGGCTTCAATTGACACAGACCCACCTCCTTGCAGTTTGAAGACAGCTGTCAGTCTGTTTCAGCAGCTAACACTTTGATATGCTACACTGCATCGAGTAAGAGTAGCAGTTGTAGATATTATGCAGTGTTCAGTTCACTAATAGATTTATTGGATGGCTAAAGCTGTTTTATTACAGAGGGTTTCAGGAAAAGAGCAGAGGGAGTGATTTTTTTCATCAGCATGCTACAGCAGTGTCAAAAACACACCATAAATTAGTGATGTAGGGTGACAATGTGAAAGACATAAAGCGAGAGTTCTGTGTTCTCAAATCCAGATGATGGTTGAGGTGGCATCCTGCTCCTTCTATATGCATAGTCTTACAATCAGACTCACATTGCCTTTATCAGAAAGCATCACCATGCCTCATCCTTAATCATCAGCAGCAAAAGAAAGGTCATTACCCAAGTAAATTACCTCTTTAGCATTTGATTATTCACTTTTTTCTTTTCCCTCCATTTTTTTGTTTCTCTGGAAGCAGGAGGCATCAAGCAGACAGCAATTTACATATACAGGGCCTTCAGACAGTATTCAGGCCATTTCATTTTTTGCTCACATAATGTGTAGATTTAATTTTAAAAGGATATGTTTGCTGTGTAACCTTTACTCTGTAACCTTTAATGACAAAATGAAAACATTCTGTGAGGTTTAAGTAGAGGCATGAAACACAACAGGTTTGGTTGTGTAGTTGCATCTGTTGAATCTCTATTGTACACAGTAAGGCTTATATCGCTGTTCACAGCACGTATTGTACTGCATTGCGCTGCCTTGATATTCATTCTCTCTTCCCTGTCCTCCAAAATTACTGCTTATTTACAGTTCTGAGCATTTGTCATCCATTGACTTTCCAGTCCGCCTCACAGGACATGCAAGGCCAAACAGTAGTAACCCAATAGCCAATAGTAAATGTGCACAATTTCCATCTCTCATTCATTCTGTACATCACCCCCAACCCTTTTGAAATGGTGGTTATGAATCTTCATTGTATTTGGTGGTGTGGAACGTGGCCCTCTCCTAAATGACTATTGATGATGATGCCACACTGTAAGGAATGTTAACACAGTATGAAAATGGTGCCAAAGCCTGGAGGACTTGAGAAAGAAGGGGAGGGGTGGAGTACTGTAAAGTGGCCTGAATGCACTGTATATTTTCTCCAAGGGGATATAGTGCATCGCTTATCAATAAATACTGTAAATAATTCTATAACATACAAGTAAAATTATAGGCTTCAAATGAATTTAACAAACCTAAGAAAGACACTTGGTGTCCTTGGCTTGTCCAGAAATATGAGAACATCTCAAGAAGCCAAACTTAGTTCTGTGTTGGATAACTTTTTTCCTTTTCTTTTCTTACGCAGCAGAAAAACAAAAAAGGCAAAAATAATGATTAATTTACACAAGAGTATGAAATTTTGGAGCAATAAGGGAAACTAGGTAGTACTCAGAGTGCAAACCACCAAGGCAGTTCAGTTCCCCCATAATGCCATAAAGAAATGTGTGGCTCCAAATGATTAACCGTAACACCACTAAAATATAAAGGACCGTGTTATCAAAATCTATTCATAATATTTTGAGTTGTACTGTGAACAAACCAGCAAAGACTGGTAAAAACATAACCTCCTTCGTGGAGACAATGAGCAAGAAAAATGCAACAGTGCATATATGCAGAAGTATGTTTCATGACCTTAAATTCATGGCTAATTTTATAAGCAATGTGAGCTGGATCACAGATTGGAGTGTGCAATTTTGTATTTTTATCTTGTATTATTCAGAGTTCTGACCTTCCTGTGTGCTTGAAAACAGAACTGTTGAGTGAAGAGAGCTGCATTTATTATCAAAGACACTGAATAAGTGGTTTCCATGGTCCTCTACAGATCATGCTCCTTTTTTTTGCCTCTTTTTGCTGCAAGAAATAACGACTTTGCAGGTGGCTTCTCTGTCGTATGTGCACTGATGATATCCACTTCCCCAAAGCCCATACGACTTGTCCTTGGTTGTAAAAAAGAAAAAAAAAAACTCTGAAAATTCACTCGGACAGCGGAAAAATGATTGGTTAACAAGCCTCAGGAAAGACAAAAGATGCACCTTAACAATACAAATATCTTCTGCAACCAAACACTACACTGTACGCTATGAGCTTGCATGGTTGTCTTGTATGCCAGCCTACTGTGTACTCAAATATATTATTACTATTATTATTATTTGTAGATGTGCAACTTTTGGTGTTTTATCTATTTCCCTGTTTTTCTCTGTGTATGTTTAAATTTCATGCTTCACTTTATGTCTTACCTTCTCAATTTAATGATGATGGCGATATGGTGTAACTGCTGTTGATTGTTTGTAGGCGGGTGTGTTATTAAATAATGAATAAATTACATGATGGGTGCTATAAATAATCACAACCATGTGTGATGGCCATTTTTTAATTATGAGTGCAGTATTCACTATTTATTTCCGGTATTAGCTTTTATTTACTCTCAGTTTTGGCTTAATTTGAATAAATCTTTTCTTTCATTTGATTAAAGCTGTGTTAACAAATATATTGCAATAAAATGCATCAAATGTGAATGTGAAAATAGTGCAACAGTTTGGAAAAAAGTCGCTTTTAGAAATGAACCTATAGGTTATTATCGCCTGGATCTGCAGCTCTCTTTGGATTTATTTAGCTTTATAGTGAGCTTCAAACTCTTGTTTTGCTGTCTGGTCTATAAATTGACGCATTTGGCTCACCCCCACCACACTCACAGCAGCTTTTGGCCACAGCAGGCAGCTGTTTTCAATAAAAAACCTCTAAAAACCCAGTCTACAGTACCTGCTCAGCAGCACCAGAAAAGACAGTCACAGTTAGCAGCTAACTGGTCAACATAGTGGAGAATTTAGCAGCTAATAAGCCACATATTTCCTGCAGGAGTTGATAGAGACCACAGCAGACACCAAAAACAGAGCTGAAGGAGACTGTATAGTGGACATATGTTTACCAGATGGCCATAAAATGACTCCAGATGAAAACTAATGTTGTTCAGTATATATAAATAAGCAGCTGTTTGTCAAAAAGTTTGGTATATGAACATAAAAAGTGATGATCAGTTACTATGAGCTTAAATTATGTATTTATTTAATATATATTGACATAAAACCAATTTTGCAACAGGTGTGGCAGGTAAAGTCATGGACAGTCAGCATGTACAGTATGTTTGAGAGTTGATGGGTCCAAATTATTAAAGGCTATTGCTCTATACATAATTATTTTTATGCGAGACAATACTATGTAGAAGTTCTTAAATCTTCCAGTGCACACCACCCACTATGATGAGAAAAGACTCAGAAATGAAAACTGACCTACAGACTGCTAATTCTCACTCTTCATAGCTGTAAACAAGGTGGTCAGTGCAGTTTCCACCCCAGCTTCCACACCAGTGAGACCAGTCTTTACCAGAAACATACCATAATGCAAGTCTTTCACTAAGCCCTCAAATTCAACCCCAACAGAACATTACAGACTCTGACAGGGAATACAAGCCCTTAATCAAGACCTTAATGCACTACAAAATGCACAAATCTTCTCATGCAACATGTAATCCAGAAGCAAGTGCCTCTGTTTTATCTTCTTCCAATCTTCTGTCTTCCCTTGAACTGCTGATGTGGAATAGCATGAAAGGAAGGACAGTCATGTCACAGACGATTTTCTGGAGGACTTGACAGTACGGATGGGTCACCATTACTGTAATGAGGCTACAGGAATGGCTGCCACGCTCCCCTCATTTACGCCATCTCAGCCCACGCCTCCTCCAGGGGATTCCCTCTTTCCTCTATAATAGCCTACTCAGTCTTATTTTACTCCCTCTCTCTTTTGCTCTTTTGTCTCATTCCCTATTTACAGAAATTTACAAGAGATGTGTACATTTACCTGCCTTTATAGGCAAAATGTATCACATCCGACACTTGTGTTCTGTGTCCAGCTACATAGCATGTAAAAATGGCCAAATGCTGTATATTACATTTGTAGTAGGTAGGGTATTTCATTCAAGTAATTTCACTGGTATGTCAAGAATAGATTTTACTGTCAATCACCCACTTTTCAAAAAAGGCAGAACAGGGCATGGGGAAAAAAGTGGGAAAAGATGTCAGAGTCCATTTTAAAGTTTGTTGTTTACCCACAGCTGACAAGTCAGCAGCTCAACACAGGAAGGAAATGCCCATTTAATCTATGGCTCTCTCTGGTGTCTTCAGGGTGCACAAACACCAATAACGTACAACAGATTATTAACAGATCAGTGCATACCAGCTGAAGAAAATACTCCTAAAGACTTTGAAACCTGACAAGATAAATCAAAAGAAAAATGTTAATGATTCAATAATTAGCCTCTTATTGTTTCATGTGCTTATGAAAAGGTGTTAAATCATTCATTCCAGTCCAGTATTTTCCATATTAATCAGCTCATTTGTCAGTTCACTTTAAAATATAACAAATCACAAGGTGGTCTAGGTTATGCATTGTTATTTTCTGTTCCACAAAGCTGTGAAATTGCTGTGGTGATTACTGGATACATGACTGTCCTCAAAGCAGTGACGCCCGCTCTCGACTGCTTAATTTAAAACTGCGCTTTCATTTCAACTTTTAATTTTGAACTTTCAC